TTCAGACCCTACATCACTTCAGGGAAGGGAAGGAGGCAGCACAGGATACACAGCGGTAACACAATAGCACACGTGACCACCACTGTCTCCAGAAAATACAGTTTCGCAAGGGAGACAGACAAAGAGTGCTACGGAACATCACAGAAAGAATACCTCTGGACTGGAGTGAGAACAGGGAAAGGTTTCCTTAAAAATGGAACACCAAATAGCTGAGATCTAAATAACAGTAGAGTATTAACCTAAATTTGCCAGGTTTATGAATTCATGTGTGTTTTACTTGATGGAAAATTTTCTGAGCAGACAGGTAAAAAGCCATACAAGAAAAGATGTCCAAAGGCAAGAAGGGGGAAAGAAACAGCAAGTGATTCACCTTGCTGGGACATAAATACCAGGAAAGAAGCCTGTGGAAGGCCTTTAGTAGTGGAATAATAAATGTTTAATTGTCACAACAACTCAGTGATAGCTATTATTAGCTCCAGTTTACTGATGAGAAAAGTGGCCTGGACAAGGTCACACAACAAAGAAATGGCAGATTGGGGGCTCCTGGGTGGCTCAGTCGGTTAAGTGTGTGACTCATGATTTCGGCTCAGGGTCATGAGATCAAGCCCCACGTCAGGCTCTGTCCTCAGCGGGGAGTCTGCCTGAGATTTTCTCTCCCTCTCCCCCAACTCATGCTTTAAATAAATAAATAAATAAAATCTTAAAAAAAAAAAAAAAAAAGCAGATCAGCAATAAAACCCATCCTCTTTCTGTTTCACTCCCCTCAGTTTTACCCAGAACATGACTAGGATTTGTCAGATTCCCAGACAAATCACCTTTTCCCTGGATAGCCAACCCTTGGTATCTAACACTTTTGAAATCCAAACACTCACCGAAGTTAATTTTAGCTCCATTTAGAAGTCAATCCCTCACTAAAATTTGGTGTACTCATTTTTTTTAATGTTTTCACCAATGTGGATTTCAATAACAACAAAAAATTGTTTTCCCCTGATGCTGCAGAGGCCCCAAAAATTTATGGCAGCACTAAGACGACAGCCCACACAGAAGTCCTTGTACGCTCTGTAATGCACAACACATCAGCATCGACTTTAGCTGGCAGCAGGGAGAGACAGAAGTTGGGACCCCACAATTATCCCTGTAAAGAAGCACACGAAAGGGAATGCAGGAATAAGAGCTACAATAATGGTAACACAAATAGCCATCTGTACTTATAGCCAGTCATGCCAAGAGCTTTTAAACACCCACATCCCTAATGCCTCCCTCTCCCCGCCATGCAGGTGGGCCCATTCCTCTCCATTCTTCTCCAACCCACATAATTCCAGAGGAAGAGATAATCCGCTGCCAGGAGTAGGAAGCAAAGAAAGCTGCTGTACTTTTGCACACAAAAGACGACAGAGGAAGGGTCCTAACTCCCTTCCCTGTGTTCTATCCATTAAGCCAGTATTTCCCTATTTCTTCCATTGTCTGAACATACAGAAATGTCGCTCCTGTTACAACCCCCAGGTCCCTGCCACCCACGCTGCCCAGGCTGGATTAGGTGCCCTCTCCCACCCATCTCATCGCTCACTCACCTTTCCCCCTGCACTCACCACACTGCACCTCTCCTCAGCATCAGTCTCCCCCCTCTATACTGAGAGCTCCCAAGGACAGGGACTGTCTGCCTCCCTCCACATCCTCAACAACCAGCACAGTGCTAGGCATTGAGGCGCTGAGAAGGGTCATGTGGCGCACACAAGAACTGCAGAATAAAACGGGAAGTGGGCAGTGGGAGAGGAAATGGTTGGAGAGTAATCTGAGGCCTGAGGATCCAGGATATCTAAATAGAAATCATGGTACAGCCTCTAGACTGGACCAATATGTTGAGTGCAACATTTACATTTAAAAAAATCGTTTAAAAAAAAAAAATCGTTTAACAGTCGCTAATAGATTTGTAACAAAAGTGAAAGCTGAGAGTATCATGAAAAAATTAAAAACTAACCACAGTTATTATTAGTGTTATGTCCCCCAAAGCAGGACAGCAGTGAGGAGTGCAATAGTCTACAAGGTACCACAGCCCTCCCACCCAGCTCCCGTTCTCACAAACAGCTCTTCACCAGTGGCTCTTTTTTTTTTTTCTTTTTTTCTTTTCTTTTTCTGGAAACTTTTTTTGCCTCCCACATCCCCTTCCCCTTCCCCTCTCCACTCTCCCAACAACCTCCCAGAGAAAACAATGAATATGTGCAATAGCCAAGAACGCTCAGAAAGACACGGCCCCGGTTCTCCGAAGTTCATCCTGACAGCTGCGGGCATAAGGAGCACTTTGTTCCCAATTTAGCAGACTTCAGCTGGGTGACAAATGTGGCCAGGAACTCCTCAACAAGGTGCTGGGAACAATGGAGGATCTCAAAACCGTTCTTGGATGCCACACTTCCCCATCTGCCTGCAGCTCTACAACGGCAAGGCTTCTAGCAGGTTCTTCTCGGACTCTAACCCTACACTTCCTCCCCAGGGACATCCACTCTCCACTCCTCCTTACCAAGGGTACTTGTCAAAACCCCACAGAACCTGACAGAAAGGTAAAACAGGGAAAAGGGTGTGATAAGGTCCTGGGATTCTTTCAATTTAAACCCTTAGCTGTACTTTTTCTTGGGTTGTTTTTTTTTTCTACTGAAGAAAACTACATAATTACTAAGAGGTGCTGATCTTTACCAAGATTTTACTTGCAATCACTGCAATATGATGTCAAAGCTGAAAGGAACCTCAGAAAAAATTTCATCATATCCCCACATTTCACAGATGAGAAGTTAGAGAACTGCCTAACTAGTTGCACAAAGAAATCCCTAGAATGTCAGATCCTAAATGGCAAGAGTTGTATCTAATCCATCTCCAGAGTCCAACACAGTGTACAGCACTTAATAAATGGTTGGTAAACTGAACTAAATGAACATAACTAATAGTGGAAAATCTAGGACTATGACCCACAATGTTTTACTTCAAGAACAGTGTTTAGGGATGCCTGGATGGCTCAGTCAGTTAAGCGTCTACCTTCGGCTCATGGAATCAGGTCATGATTCCAGGGTCCTAGAATCGAGCGCCGCATCAGGCTCCTTGGTCGGCGGAGAGCCTGCTTCTCCCTCTGCCTTCTGCTCCCCCTGCTTGTGCCCCATCACTCTTGCTCTCTCTCTGACAAATAAAATCTTAAAAAAAAAAAAGTGTTTTTTCATCACATGTGACTAAAAAGCTGGGATCTCTGAATGATAATTCATGGGGGGGACAGCATACCCCATAGAATTCAGACTCTCTCCCTCCTCAACTAGGTATACTTCCTTTATCTCTGACACCACCTATAATTCCAAGCTCTAAAAATCATACATTTCTGAATTGATTTCCTAAAATACCCCTTCTCTCACACTCAGATCTTTTAATAACTCTCTTCAATTACTTTTTTCCCCAAGTTTTTATTTAAATTCCAGTTAATTAACATACAGTGTAATATTAGTTTCCATGCACAATGTAGTGATTCAACACTTCCATACAACACCTGGTGCTCGTCAAGACAAGTGTGCTCCTGAATCCCAATCACCCATTTCACCGATCCCCCTGCCCACCTCCTCTCTGGTAACCATCAGTTTGTTCTCTACAGTTAAGAATCTGTTTCTTGGTTTGCCTTTCCTCCCTCTCCCCGAATGTTCATCTGTTTTGTTTCTTAAATTCCACATATGAATGAAATCGTATGGTATTCATCTTGCTCTGGTCTTCAATTACTTTCTTAATGATTGTCCTCTTTGGGTTCCCTCCTTGTACTTCAACTTACCGCGAACTACAACTATCTCCCTTCCCTTGTGTTTCCCTAAGTCAATGGTTCTGAACCTTGGCTGCGTACTGGAATCATCTGGGGAAGTTTAAAAAAATATGAATTCCTGGGTCCTACTACCAGAGTTCCTGACTTAACTGGCCTAGGTGGGGAATGGCCAAGAAATGAAATTTTTAAAAACTCCCTAGGGGATTCTAATACACAGCTCACTTATGTTGACAGCCTCTGCCCGGATACCCTCAGAAATTCACCGATTGGTCCATTATATACCCTAAAGATAACCTGTTCTGGATTTGCAAAATACCAGACTGAAGGCACATTAGAATCACACCCTTAATTTACATCTGTCATATAATAAACTACTTTAGTAAATATGCCAGTGAAGTTCTATAAATCAGTAATTATAATGAATGGCCAGTATCCCACTAAAAGACTATGGAGGAGAGGGAAAAAGTTACACTGGAGTTTTTGACTCAGAAACACATTTAGTTTACGTGGTTTTTTTTACCAAGGATCCAGAGTCCTTCAAATCCATATGGTCTTTCTGTTATCAAAAACAGCTTTTTGTGGCCAACCCCAAAGAAGCACAAGAACATACCATTTATTTTCATGACTCTGTTCATACCAGTATTTCTGTCTGAAACACCCTTCTCCTGTCTGCATGGAAAACTCCTATTCGTCCTTCAAAGCCCAGTTCAATCTATTGCCCCCTTTAGTTATTCATTCATCAAAAACAGAATCTACTCAGTGTCAGGGATTTTTTCCAGGCAATGGAGATATAACACTTTTTTCCAGGCAATGGAGATATAACACATATCAAATGGAGAATTTGATATGAACAGCAGGATACAAGACCTAGTCACTGGTCTCACAGTGCTTACATTCTACTTAGGAAGCCAGACAGTAAACAAGGAGGCAAATTAAAATAATTCCAAATGGTGGTTAAGTGATATAAAGAAGATAAAGCAATCTAACAGTACAGAGTAATGGTAGATAGTAACTTTCCCCAAAGGCAGACTCATTTGGTATTTCGAGACTGAATCAAGAACAGGGGGGTTTACCGTATTCCTTTTACATTCCCAGCATTCAGTCTTAGTACCTACACAATGAATATTTTGAATGAATAGAAAACATACTGGTAAGAAAAGAACTTGTTTAAAAAAAAAAACCTGCAACCTCTCTGGGCTCAGACCTAGTTTGCGGCGACATGGCTAAACGCACAAAGAAGGTCGGAATTGTGGGCGAATACGGGACCTGTTATGGTGCTTCCCTCAGGAAAATGGCGAAGAAGATTGAAATAAGCCAGCATGCCAAGTACACCTGCTCCTTCTGTGGCAAAACCAAGATGAAAAGACGAGGGGTGGGGATCTGGCATTGTGACTCCTGCATGAAAACCGTCGCTGGTGGCGCCTGGACCTACACCACCACTTCTGCCATCACAGTAAAGTTGGCCATCAGAAGACTGAAGGAATTGAAAGACCAGTAGAAGCTCCACCATTTAAAACATTGCTAGCCTACAATAAATGAGTTAATTTATGTAACAAAAAAAAAAGGCCTGCAGAAATAATCATCATAATCAATTAAGAGTCAAGAAGCACGAATCCTCACCTAAGTTTTTCCCACTACCTATAAGATTTGGGACCAATCTCTTTCTCTCCTCTGTAAAATAAGTAGACTGGTTTAGAGCAGGACTATACTGCTCACCAGAGGTAAATAAAAAATGAAGTGCACAGGCAGAGGCCGTGTGGTATTGGAGCAAACAGGTTCCTATAGGGAAGAGCCACTGTGCGGATTCGAGAAAGTCCACCCCGGAGGAATGCAGGCCCCCTGTTGCCCTGAAAAGCCAAGAATGTGGATTTCATGTGTGTTCTCCCAGTGTTTAAATATTAAATCCACATGCCTTCAAAATACTGTGTACGCCAAACAAAACCCCATGTGTAAGGGCCAGACCACAGGTCTCCAGTTTGTAGCCTCTAGACTAGACCATTCTAAGCCCTTCTAGTCCTGACAGGGCTCTTCAAGGAGATACCTTCTTAAAAACACTGAAGAGACAACAGGATTAGAGAACAAAAAGTGAAAAGCACAGTCTCTGTCCCCAATGTTCCAATCAGATCACAGAAGACTCTTCATAATTCTTCAGGCAGTAACTTCTTGTTGCCCAGAAAGAATATTGTGTGTCCTGGACAATAAAAAATCAATCCCAACCTCTCCTTTAGATTATACAAGCAGTAAGTCCATTATATTTTTAGTGATCTGGAGTGAACGTTTGTGCTTTTGCCCACGTGTGCTTAATAAATATTCCTCTCCTAGGCAATCAGGAAGGCTTCAACAGAGGCACAACTCATGTGCACGCACACACACACACACACACACCCCACAAAGCAAGGAAATCAATTATGCTGAAGACTGGCAAGATGCCCCAAAGACACAGCAGGAATTTGATATGAACAGCAGGATGAGGAAGAGAATGAATAATTCAGACTCCCTGATTCACTTAACAAAGTTCTGTCAAGCACAAGCTTGTGGGCTGAGCTCCCTCATCTAAAAGGCTACGCTCCCTCACTGAATGGAAAGCTGACATTGCCTGTCCTGAAGGTGGGAGAAAGAAGAAATGACAAACTTGCACCGAGAATAAGTCAAGTTCTTTTCCCGAGAGCCAATTCATCATAAAGGACCAAATCTGACAACAGATGATGTTTTCTTACCATCATTAGCAGAGAAAAAGAACATGCATATTTTATTTATGTCCACCCTTTAAGAAGGCCTCCATTAGACTACAAAGCCAAAGTAAACAAGATAATGGGAAAGGTGAAAGAACAGTATCAGCCAGAATAGCTAAAACTATACAGACATCTTCCCAACCCCTACTGTCCTCCTTCCAAGGTTGAAGCAAGTTACCAACACTATCTTTAAACTAGCAATGATGACTGATTTATCAACTATTCATAAAATGCTTAACCTAAATTCTACATTTTTTTTTTATTTTTACACAGGCAATTCTGAAAACAGATTCAGATCCTGAGAATTAATCAGTCCTTATAAACTCAGTCTGTTGGAAACCAGGGTTTTGTGTGTGTGTGTGTGTGTGTGTATGTGTGTATACATATATATATGTGTGTATATATAATAAAAAAAACAAAAAAAAACAGAGCTGCTACATGAACAGCCTAGGGAAGAAAAAGAAATGTGAACCAACTAACCTGTTTTCTTGTGTCTCTATGATAGGGTTGGTGTTTTATCTTCCGTTTTTGGTTTTCAATGACAAGAGTGAAATATTTGTTATCATTCAACATTTAAATCACTCAAATCTATGGTACTCACTGATGCAAGTAATTCCTTCAGTTTCACATCTGTGACATGTTACTTGTAAACCACATACCAAGAATGCATTAACTCCTGAGGGTCCTAATACTAAAATTGTGTTGATACAAAAATCAACACAATTGAACACTAAGGCTGTGAAGACAGAGTCTCTATACAATAAATAGATCCCAAGGGGCATCTGGGTGGCTCAGCGAGTTAAGCATCTGCCTTCGACTCAAGTCGTGATCTCGGGGTCCCGGGATCGAGCCCAGCATCAGGCTTCCTGCTCAGCGAAGAGTCTGCTTCTCCCTCTCCTTCTGCTCCTCCACCCCCTCCCCGCTCCCTGCTCATTCGCACACACTTGGTCTCTCTAATAAATAAATAAAATCTTTTTAAAAAGTAAAAATAGGGGCGCCTGGGTGACTCAGTTGGTTAAGTGTCTGCTTTCAGCTCAAGTCATGATCCCGGGGTCCTGGAATCGAGCCCCACATTGGGCTCCCCGCTCAGCAGAGTCTGCTTCTCCCTCTACTGCTCCCCCTGCTTGGACACACACACTCTCTCTCTCTCTCTCAGTCAAATAAATAAATAAATAAAATCTAAAAAAAATAAAGATCCCAAATATTATACTAGTTGAGTAGCAGAAACAGACTTTATCAAGAATTACTATCACAAAAAGTGCAGTCAAGAGTAAGCTCACACTTTTTTAAAAGATTTTATTCCTTCATTTTGAGAGAGAGAGAGAGAGCATGCACACAGGGGGAGGGGCAGAGGGAGAGAGCATCCCAAGCAGACTCCATGCTGAGTGCAGAGCCCAACACGGGGGCCTGATTCCACGACAAGATCATGACTGGAGAGGAAACCAAGAGTTGGACACTCAACTGATTGAGCCACCAAGGTGCCCCAAGAGTAAGCTCACACTTTTTTTTTTTTTTTAAGATTTTATTTATTTATTTGACAGAGACAGAGACAGTGAGAGCAGGAACACAAGCAGGAGTGGGAGAGGGAGAAGCAGGCTTCCCGCGGAGCAGGGAGCCCGATGTGGGACTCGATCCCAAGACTCGGGGATCATGACCTGAGCCGAAGGCAGCCGCTTAACGACTGAGCCACCCAGGCGCCCCTAAGCTCACACTTCTAAAAATCATTTTAAAAATTAGGCTGATTCCTCAAAGTTATCAAAAGCAACAAACAACTTCTCCAAAATTCCAATGGCTGAACAGGAGGTGTTTCAGCCCTAAAAGCAAAGAAGAAATAGCATTTTAAAAAGTAATTGAGGGGCGCCTGGTGGCTCAGTCTGTTAAGATCTGCCTTAGGCTAACATCATAATCCCAGCACCCGCCAATCGGGCTCCCTGCTCAGTGGGGAGCCTGCTTCTCCCTCTCCCTCTGCCACTCCCCTGCTTGTGCTCTCTGTCAAATAAATAAATAAAATCTTTAAAAATAAATAAACAAATAACAGCCTGCTCCTTCTGGTGACCATAACCAAATTTTCCTACCTGCTTCAGGTCAGCCCCTAAGGAATTAATCTATCACCCCATCATGAAGAGCCATGTGATCTAAAAGCAGTGGTTCCACCCAGAGACCCCCATGGACGAGACAGTGATTGTACCAGATGGAGACTGTTTGCCCACATTCTATGTTACCGATCATAATTCAAGAGTTCACAAGTCAAGCTTCTAAGGGTCACAGACAGAAAAGGACCTCTAATTTCCAAACGCTTAATGACAGGCACTTCTAGAAATTAGATAATATAAAGTCTTACCTGCTATTTCTTTTGTCAAAGAGCAAATAAGACTGCTGTTGATCAACTTTCAACAAGGTAGAAATGGAGGACAATCCTCCCAGAATAAGAATAAAATTTATTTGTTGAGTTTGGAGCAATGAGGATTATTTTTCTTTTTCAAATCTCCCCAAATGATGTTAATGGGCAGCCAAAACTGAGAAACATGGGTCTACCTAAGTTCTGAAACAAGCTAGCTAGGGTGGCTTAACTAGTGAGATAAGGGTAATATATTCAAAGGAGGTTTTGGCCTTTGCATTATGACTTTGAAATGATTATCTCTAGCAAAAGAACCAAACGCCACTCAGTGATCATTCACCCTGAAAATCTGGGACATGTATCCTACACAGATAAGGTTCTTTCAGTTCTAAAATCCTATAATCTCTCCAACCATTAACCATCTAATAAGTATTGGGCCTACTATATACCAGGTACTGTGCTAGAGGATAGGAATTTAAAAAGAAAATGATCAAAGCTTAGTCCCTACCCTCAAGGAACTTACAGTTTGGTAGGAATTCAAAGTAAAGAGGCACTTGCATACTGTGAGGTAAATGCTAGAAAGGGAAAAGTGCAAGGAGCTATGCTAGCAGTCAGGTGAGTTCTTAACCCCACCTGAGATATTCAGCAAAAGGTTTCCAAAGAAAACTGACCTGTAAACCAAGATCTCAAAGATGAAGGTTAGTGTGTAAAAGGTGGAAAGAGAAGTATTACAGAAGTAACTTCCAGTAGAGGTGCATGCTCTGTGCACGAGTGGGTCAAGTGTTTGGGAGATGAGGTAGGAGCTGGGTCACCAAAGCTGCCTGATGGGACTAAAGGGCATTGATATGATCAGAGCTGTTTCAGATGGATCACTTCTAAGAAAGGTCACTGAGATGCAGTGGCACAGGAAGGGAAGGACAAAACTGAAGGCAGAAAGACCCCTGGGTAAGCGGGGGCACTGGTCACTGAGCTACACAAGAGCAGAGTTTTGCCAAAAGGGCAGATGAGGAGAGGTCAACTGTAGACATGCTGGCTTTGCAGTAACTACAGCGCACCCAAGTGCAGATGCACACGAAGCAGCTGGAAACAGACATCTGAAGTGCAGGGAGGAGATCTAGGCTACAGATAACAATCTGAAAGTTCTCAGCATATAGATGATAAAGCCTTCGCTGCAGATGAGCCTGCCTCTGAAGAACACGTATAACAGAGGAAAAGGCTTAGAGCGGAATCCTGAATAATAGCAACTTCTAAGTGGGGGCTGAGGAAGGAACTAGGAAAAGGTCCTGGGGGAGGGGGGGAATGTTAAAAGGATAGTGCCAGAGAGGCATTTCAAGGACAGGGAAAACAGAAAGGATAGTCACTGGACTTAGCCAAAGGGGTTATTGGTAACCTTGAGGGAATGGAGTTCAAATGTTGTAGCTGAGGAAGAAACTAGACTGCAATGGGTTCAAAGTGTATAGACAATTATTTCAAGAAGTTGGTTTGTAGTTTATAGAAGGGAGAAGAGTAAAAAGCAGCTAGAGGGTAGAGGAGACTAAAGGACTGAATATGCTAGACTTTATTTAAGTTTAATGAGATAGGCATGTATAATGTTGATAAGAAAAAATACACAAAGGTAGATTTAGGGGCACCCAGCTGGCTCAGTTGGTAAAGCATGTGACTCTTGATCTCCGGGTTGTGAGTTCCTGCCCCACAATGGGTGTAGAGATTACTCAAAAATAAAATCTTCAAAAAAAAAAAAGAAAGAAAAAAGAATTAAAAATCTAGGAAAGAGATCCAAGCAGGATTCACCATAGAATGGAAGAACAATACATTTTTCACTGTCACAGACACAGTTTATGGGGCTGATAGCAGGAAGTTAAGACTTCCAATTTGATAGCTTCTATTCCATCTATAAATTAAGAGGCCAAAATTCTTACTTAAGTGAAGGGAAAGTGAATGTAGGACAATGACAAACATTTGAAACAGCTTTGGTGGCAAATCCCCAAGAGGGGTCACTCAAAAACAGAGAGACTGCCAGGCCGGAGTCAAGGGTCCAGGAAACGTTGGAAGCCATGAAGGCAGACAGCTGTGTCCATCTAGGCCTGTGGTTTTGCTAGGTAAGTAAAACAAAACGAAAATAAAGAGAGAATACTGGCCAAAGAGCGGTTAAGCAAAAGAACTGTGAAATCTAAACAAGGGAGGGAGGGAGCAAGACAGGAGGTTCACAGGAAGGGAGAGAGTGCAGAGTGGGCTGGTACAGTGGACTTCTCCATGACACTGAAGAAAAGATGCAGGGGGAGTCACTGAACAAGAGCACTGGAAGAGCATTAAAGAGAAGATGTAATGCCCTGTCTTTCAATTTCCAGAAATGAAGCAGTTCCAGATGGACAAGACGGAGGGTGTATCCTTCGAACAGGCCATGCAAGTACCTTGCAATTCCAGTCAGGGAAGCTCACTTGCGAAGAACAAAGAATGGAGAGGTCAGGGCCTACTGAGGTGCTGGATCAATCATCCGCACAACCGCTGGGGTCTCCTCCCATCTCTAATGACAATAAAGGTAGAAAGAAAGCCCACGAACCAGTGCCAATGTTAGGTGGTTTGGGGTTGGGTTTTTTTTTTTGTTTTTATTGTTTTTTAACAAGGGAGAGAAGCAAGGTAATCAATAAATGACAACACTAAGGGAAGAGGTTAGATGAGCCAGATTGCAAGAGCTTTTAAGGAGCAGGGAATTTCGCCCGAGGGTAAAAGATTAGATAGGAATACTGGAGAGGAGAGGGAGGACAGGATACCAACCTCCCTAAAGTAGCAGAACAAAAACCACCCGGTAGGAGGGGGATGTGATATCCTCAGAAAGAAACCGAATTTAGTTAAGAGGAAGGGGTAGAAATAACTCAGTGAAAAGGCTGAGGATGAGGAAGACTGTTTACTACGCAACAGGAAAAATGGGACAGTCTGTGAGGGGAGGGGCCACTGGAAGGTCAGGTCAGGAGGGAGAACACACAGTCGGGCCTGAGATCACAGGAGTATACAGATGGCCATCCTGGATGCTGACCAAGCAGTGCAGAGTTGAAAGAAATGATTGGTTTGGCTGCTGCGAGGTCTCTTGAAAAAGAAAAAAAGAAAAGAAAAGAAAAAAGAAAAGGAGAGAGTCCCAACAGTTTCTTAATGGAAAACTGGCAGGGTGAAGAAGGACTTGGGCCTTTTTTTTTTTAAATACACAAGATCTTTTTTATTAATTAATAAAACAAAAAAGATGAAAAACAGAAGCAACAAAATGAAGACCATACTGCTCATGATACATCAGCCACATGGTCAGAAAACCAATTTCTGAAGAGTGACAGCTGCTGGTGTCATGGAGTTTTATTGCATTCAACAGGGGAAAGGTAGACGGCTGGAATGAAAAAGATCAGCGGGCCCCTGATGGTAAGATATTATAGGGGCTCTAATCTTTAACTGTGGATTCCTCTTGTTACTTCCTTTGGAGAAGATGGAGGGGAGAGAGGAATTCTCCTTTATGACTGTATGACTTCTTGTGAGACAAATCAGTCCAGCTATATACAGTGCAAAGAATCCTTGCATCCCCACAGGCCAGTTGCTAGTGCCCATCTTTATGTTAAAAAAAAGTGTGGAAGCCATAAAGGGGATCGAGTGGAGAGTAGCAAGAATGGTTGCCTTAGCCCCAAAGGCATCAGGGGATGGGGAGGACACTATCTGGGTCATCAGAGTCCTCTACATTCTGAGACTATCACATGTCATTTCAACTCTTTGGAGGGGGCTGGGTGATTTGAGTCCTGGCTCTGACTCCTCTCTGGGGGTGGAGAGTGAAGATGACAAAGAAGTCCATCTGTCCCTTGGGAGACACAGTAGCAGTATGAGACAGAAAAGAACAGAATAACAAATCCAACTGGAGAAAGGATTTGAGAAGGGACTGAGAAGGAAGTATGCCAGGTGCACACCTCCGAAGAGTAGAGCAGGTTCCCATACTTGAGTCCTTCATCCTCTTGAAGTGACCAGGATTGACCCAGGCAGAGATATTCCCTTCTGGTGGGAATAAAACCTCAGGGATGGCTAGACATGAAGAGAGGAAATTTAGCACTGGGAATGAACCTTTTACCCTGGCCCATCATTCCAGCCTCCAAAACTGCCCACACCCCCCACTGAAGGGTTCCAGCCCCAGGAGGGGTGTGAGGTCCTGGTGAAGAGCAGTAGCAGTCCAATGTCTTCACTCAGGCTTGAACACTTTGGCCATCTCTGGGCTCTTGTACCCAGAAGTACAGGGGTGGGGGTTGGAAGTAGGATGAGGGAAGAGACTGGAGAGGAGTCAATTCTTGACAGACACCTTTCCCAATTCCCTGCATAATTTCAAGTGTCCTCGTGGGTCCCACCTCTGTGAGGTGCCAGCCGGCTCGCCACTCCCCACCCCATTAGTGTGTAAGATGGGCCATATCCCATCACATGTGCATGTCAGCACCCACAACTGTAGTATCTTGAAAGTCCTCCATCCCAGGGCCTACTGGGAAGGAAACATGCCACAGTGAGTTCTATAAAGTTATCAGCAAAATTCAGACACTCTTAGTTCATCCCACACAGCAAAGTGCATCCAGAGTAGTTGCTTGAGCCAGGTCCATCTGTCCAGTCAGGTCCTGAAGTTGGCAAGTAACCCCCTTCCCCCATCTCCTCCTATGATCTAGAAACAACAGGACATTTACAAAGATCAAGGCACTTGGGAGTGAGTCAACAGTAACACTCTAATGAAGCAAGCAGAATGGTTGCAGGGGAGGGAGAAAAGGAAGAAAACTGGACAGGGGGAGATAGGAGAGTGTATTTCTGAGGGTCAGGAAGAGCCTACTCAACAAGATGGAGTTATCTGGATACAAGGAGCCTGCAGCTGGAATTTAACAAAGGAGGAAAAGAAGAAGTAGTGATCAGCATATCCACAATCCCAAGCTTCTCAGAACCCTGCCACCTTGAAGATAAAGCAGCAGTCAGCATGGAGTCAGGCAGTCTCTTAGGCAAAGATGTTGGTAATAAAATCCAGGAATCGCTTAGCATACTGCTCAGGATGGACAGTAGAGATCTCTGCCCCAGCCCCATGCTTGACAGTTTTGGCTGCATGAGCTGCTTTCTTCTTGGCATCATACTGTGTGAGGATGTCGATGAGACCCATGAAATACACCTCCTTCTGGGGGGCCCCCTCAGCACTCCGGATGGCGTAGACATCAATGAAGGACTCAAACTCTCCAGGGCCCAGGGGCCGATGAGAATGGATGTAGCCGCCGATACCCTCAGGGGAGGTGCCATAGGAGCCCACCAGAGCGGGTGGTCCTGTCAGGCCACAGTCCCCATCCCCCTCTGACTCCTCCTCCCACACAGGCCCCTCCTCCTCTGGGTCAGAGCCCCGAATGATGTCGTGGATGCCCAGCAGAAGGCTGTAGTCCACGATCTGCAGCTGCACTAGGAACTCCACATCTCTCTTTAGCTTCTCTAGGAATACTTTCTTCTCCTCTTCACCAATATAAACCTTCTGGTTCTTGTTGAGAAAATCCATATCCTTAAGGGTGGGTAATTCTTTAACCTTTTCCTTATCGCTGGCTTCTCGGGATACAAGGGAGCCCTTGAGGTCATACTTCCTGTGCACAGGAAGACGGTGGCTAAACATGTTACGCATCACAAGCATGTAGCTGTCTTCATTGTCCACGCTGACCTGGTACATCCCCAGGAACTGGGGCAGCAGTGTGTTCCCATGGCACTTCACAATATACTGGTGGTAGCTGGAGAGGTTGCTGTGCATGTCAGCACATGGATACTTCTTTGATGACCGGAGTTCGATCGTGGGAGATAAGGAAGCGACCGTCGCTGCCTTCACTTTCACTCGGGGGACTTCGGGTGAGGGATACCAGCTAATCTTGGTCATCAATGCCAAATTGATCACGGAGGTTCCTGAAGACCTGGGGGCAATATTCCTTGAACTTGAAATGACTAGGCAGATTTTCCCTGTGGAAAAGGTGATTGTTGACCTTGATCTTGGAGCTAGCCTTAAAGTCGTCTGGCAGCAGCATCACGGGGGGAGGCACCAGGCTGAGCTCATTGATCGAGTGGGCTACACCCCACAGGAACACGCCCACCAGCGGGTCAGCCGCCGGGAACACCTTCACCTTCTGCTGCACGAAATGCTTCTTCTTGGTTTTGGAGGCGAAGCCGAAACCCGGGCCCAGGGCCGCTGTCGCCGCCGGTATGGTGGCCGGCGGGACAGAGGAGGACGCCATAATCTCCCTCTCCCGTGCACCCGACAGAGTAGAAGCCGGAGCCCGCGGCGAAGCAGGCTTCCGACTCCGGAAGCAGTGCTCACCTCGAACTTGGGCCTTTTGATAGGAGTCAGCATCAGCCGGGTTTAAGAGAGCTTTCCGGAGGGGTCAGGGTCTTAACTGCAGGCCAAAACAAGACTACTGGAATCCCACATGCTCTACCATACATAAAACAATGGCAGCCTCTGGTCTCTGGAGAGAGGGGGCGTCCTCAGGCTCTGCAAGGAAAAAGCCATGGCCTAGAATACCTATATTGCCACAGCAGACAAGAACACTGAGCAGAGTCAGTTATGATCTGGACCCATTCAAGCTGACCAGAACACGCGCCAGAGTCAGGCTTCTGGTACGGTATCAGGGACTGAGCAACCAATACATAACATCAAATAAAGAATGAGAGGCTTAAGATTCAGGAATTTTGATGTCTCTAACAAAAAGCATTACTAAGCTAAACAATCACACTGCTGCAAGTCTAACATATGTAACTGCTCCAGTGCTAAGTGCCTTACTTGCAATATCTCATTAGTTTTCACAACTCTATGAGGCAAAAACTATTATTAACATTTTACAGATGAAGGAACTTAGCCTCAGAGAAATTAAGAAACTTGTCCAAGGTTATAAATGTATTAAAGCAGCAGAGCCAGTAGGACTCTAAGCCCCAAACTCTTCATCACGGTGCTCTATACCTCTCCCGGCACCATGGGCTCTGCCAACCTCTCTAAGCACACATCCTCTTGAATATACAACTCAGAACAGCTGTTATTAGGGAAAACACAAAAGAAATAAAAGGCATGGTCCTCAAGAAAACCAAGTCTGCTTAGAGGGACGAGATACACACACACACACACACACACACACTCTCTCTCTCTCTCTCTCTCTCTCTCTCTCTAAAGCTCTTCTCACGGAGACCAGACAAAAACTGACCCTCACTTATTATGTCCACTAGGTCCCGTGTCCTGTAGGTCTTGCCTCCCGTGTCAATCTCAACTTCAGAAGTTTGAGACTAAGCCAAAACGAAAACAGCTAGAGGGAGGGGAGGCATACATGAGCCCACCTTTAGGCACTCAGCAGCGGTTTATTTGCACGCTCCTATCTAACAGGACCTTAGTTCCCACGCTACAGCTTAAGCTCCCTGAGCGCACCATTTATGTCTCTACCCCACCTTCACTCAGCCTCACATACAAGTGGAACTCACCTCCATTTCCCTTGTATTAGAAAATACAGTGATACTCTGGCTTTCCTTTCAAACCTCTCTGAGGTAGAATGAGATACAAAATAGTTCTTAAGTGCTCTGAATCTTAATTAAGAGAAATATGATATACAAGTAATAGTAACACATTTACCATGGAATATCTAAACAGCCTTATTCCACTACTAAAAATCAACTGAGGCACAGACATGCCACACATAAACATAGGCATACACAAGTGTTTAAAGCTTAAGCAAAGCTGAATTCAACCTTGCCTCCCCCCTTCCACCAAAATATGAACCAAAATAAAAGACAATTTTGATTATAAGTCAGAGCTGGCATCCTCAAAATGAATAAACCTGTTCCAGGTAACACCGCTGAAGTAGCAGGTGCAGGTAAAATGGACTTCAGCCACTGAACTCTAACCATTTCTAGAGGCAGTCAGTGAAATACAGGCACACTAACGGGAAAACAGGAAAAATAGGGAGGCATAGCAATTTCCAAATACATCCACAAATTTCTTTATACTATTCCCTTCAAGAAGTGGAGCCTAAAAAAAAAAAATAAGTGGAGCCTAATTCTCCTCCCCTTAAGAAGAATAACAAATAAAATAAAGCAGAAATGACAGTGTATATCCAGGGACTCAATCGTTGAAAGCACTTGCAACTTCTCCTTCACCTGCTCTCTTCCTTACTCGATCTCTCACTTGATCACTCACTCTAAGGGAAGTCAACATAAGGTAAGGAAGACACTCAAGGAGCCTAAGGAGAAGTCCTTAGGTCTCCTACCAACAGCCAGCGAGGAACCGACAACATGCCAATAGCCGTGAAATGAACCATCTTGGAATCCTCCAGTCCCAGTTCAGCGCAACAGTTTCATTGGAACTTCATGAGGGATTCTGAGCCAGAACCACAGGGCTAAGCTGCTATCGGATTTATGACCCACAGAAGCCGTGAGATAATAAATGTCTGCTGTTTTAAGTCCATAAGTGTAGGGGTCATTTGTCGCATGGCAAAAGAGAACTACTACTGACAGCATGTTGATGTACACTGGGTCCTGAGTCCCGAACTATCACTTGGGTTCTGGAAACAGAAACTCCCAGAGAGGAGCACACCGGGAGTTCAGTAACCTCCTCTTCTGTTTGTAGCAGTGATGGCTAACAGAACTATAATGAGAGCAAGAAATATGGGCCATTTATGTAATTTAAAATTTCCCAGTAACAACATTAAAAAAAAAACAGGTAAGATAAATTTTAATGTACTTTATGGAATCTAACATATCCAAAATATTAGCATTTCCACATGTCAATATTTCAACATTCGTCAATATTTTTAAAATTTTCAATGGAATTTTTTTTCACCGAGTCTTTAAAATCCAGTGTGTATTCTACACTCACAGTGCATCTCAATTTGGACTAGCCATATTTGAGCCCACGACAGTCATGGGCGGCTAGTGGCTACCATATTAAAGCAGGTCTAGAGAATTTTTTTCTGCAGCTTGTTACCCTTTTAGAAATAAGTCTAGAGCTCAAAGAGGTAAAAGCAAAAATTGTCTTTAAATACCTAAGGAATTTTTTTAAATTTTCCATACTGAGATACATCATTTGTATAGGTTCCCAAGCTGGGAAGGAGTGGCCTTCGTGGAAGGAAAGAGGGAGGCCAAGGGCAGTGCTTGCTGTTAGGAACAGGAGGGACCACTTTGAAAACATCAACATCAATAATCAGAGGGAGTACAGAGAACATCACCTGCGCTTTTAACCGACACTTCCTTCAGTGTCCGCTCATCTACCCATTTCACACACAGCCCTACAGCCATCTGAAAAGGAAAGCCACAGTTTGTTCTGAAGCAGGTCTGGAAGGAAAGGGGTTAAAAAAAAAAAAGGCAAAGTAAAGGAACATTTGGCTTTCTCAAAAACACTTCTCCAGCTAACACATTTGCCTCCCCTCCCCCAGCGATGCTATCTGCTAAGATCACTGCTGTGAAGGGGGACAAATCAAAACCAGAGCCCTCAGCAGACCGTAATCTCCACAAGAAAATCTACTCCAGTGCAACCAGAGCCGCCCTTTTCTCCTCCTGCTCCTACTTCTTGAGAAGCTAGATTCAGACCGCTATGGAAAAAAGCCAGTTGTGTGAGTCACTGCAGCCATCCCAAGGGGCCTGGGCAAAATCCAGAGGACAGCTGAAAACAGCTGTTGTGAGGTCAACTGCAACTGGGGGGGAAGGAGGAAAAAGAGGATGAATTCATAGTTTATTACACATGATCCCATTCTGGCCTCAGAAAAGCTGGTTTTTATTTTCTCAAACAAAAAGTTGCTTCTCCCTTCTTACTTAAAATTCTTCTCCTAATGAAGGAAGCAACAACGGATTTACCAGTTATCACCCCCTCAGACGATCACCCAGTGTCTCCCACAGTGGGGGGTAAACAGGAACCCACCAGGTAAGGTAAAAACTATTAAGGAGCCGCAGTAAAGGCAGACACCTTTAACTTGAATAAAACTCTTTAAAAAAAAATCACCAGGAAATATGAGCCTGCCAAAATTTAGCAGAGAAAGAGCCTCAGGGAAAGAGAAGTTCCACTCTCATTCCTTGCACGCTAATGATGTTACAAGCACTGTTGATGAAGGAAAAAGGAAGACATGCCGGAGAGTGTTTGCACAACTAGGAGGTAACTAGCCTCTAGACTTCTAACCCACTTTCCTACTCGCCAAAAGAATGTCAATCTTCACACATCAGCCCTTGAGGTCCTGAAGAAAAGGTGGCTGACATCTGGTCCAGATACTGTATTAAACAATGTAACAACAGGTACCTTTCCTACACAAGAACGCCCCCAGAGTCTGATAAGTAAGGGAAGAATGGGGATTTCCTCGCATCTGACACAAACTAGTATTACTGGGCTCCAGTAATACAAGACATAGGGAACTGGTAAGCATGCTTCCTCTCCACCTGGTCTCAGTGCCCAGACAGGCACCCTTCAAAACCCCTGTGCCTATAGTTCCAGTGATTTCTACCCACACACACTCCACGGTGCTCAGTTGTGGATTCTACAGTCAGTCATTTTAGACATTCACATGGTAGAAGCAGTCCCTATTCCTCAAATTCACCAGGCAAACTACCTATGAGAATAGCAGAATTGCTGCCTTCAGAAGAGGTCTAGGGAGATTTTTAAAAGCCAGTGAAAAATCCCTTCAATTCTCCCAGTTGCCCACCTGCCATCAAGTGACACTGTTCCTCAAGTAAGATACAAAGATTCAAAATCTCTTTATTACCCTCCCTTCTCCAAAGTGCTGTTTTTTACTACAGAACTTTAGTTATTTCTTCCACAAATGTTTAACTATTTACTATATTACATCATATATAGGACCTCTTGCAATGAACTTCCAAAGCCAGCCACTGGAGATCCTGCCAAGAGCAGAAGGAACTGAGATGGGGAGGGAGTGTAGAGGAAAGTCTGAGTCAGCTTCCAGGGCCAGAGGAAAGTTTCCCTTGGCCTCCCAGGTATAAGATTACAATAATGAATGACAACTTGTAAAAGTCTTAAAAACTTTTTCAGTTGCCAGAGCTTACATTCTGGATCCCTTTTATTTTTTCTCCTTTATGTCTCACCTTTCCAAGCATCCAGCAAACTTAGAAAAACAATTGTGGTACAATTCTATCCTAAATACAGTCTTTCGCACCAACAAATCAGCAAGGTTTAGGACCCTTCACCATATTTTACATCAACTTAAACTGTTATTTAACTTTCCTGAGTTTATACACCATCTACCCAACTAAATCAAAAGCCTTTACAGAACATCCCCTGGATCTTACTCTTCCTATCTACACTACCTCACACTGAGCAGAATCTCAAACAACACCTCTTGGTTAGCTTTTATTTTATATCAAAGAATGCAGGGATGAGACGGAGAGACTGGATCTAAAACGCGCAAAATGAGGAAGCAATGAGGGACGCCTGGGTGGCTCAGTTGGTTAAGCGTCTGCCTTTGGCTCAGGTCATGATCCCAGGGTCCTGGGACTGAGTCCCGCCATTGGGCTCCTTGCTCAGCGGGGAGCCTGCTTTTCCCTCTCCCCGCTGCTTCCCCTGCTTGTGCATGTCCTCTCTCTGACAAATAAAATCTTTAAAAAAAAAAAAAAATGAGGAAGCAAGGAAGGTGGGTCTTTCCAAAAGAAGCCACCCTCCAGAAGTGGAGAAGAAAGTTTTTTTATCAAGTCTTAGGACAAGATGACATCTGAGGCCCCTGCATCTCCTCACAACAGCCAATCTCTGAGTAACACAGCTCAGCAGCCAAAGCCGCTTACACTTTCATCCCCTTCTCCTCCAGAAAGTACTTCTGATAACCGCAATAACTTCCTTTCCAATGAGCCCACAGTGGCAGCCACTGCTGTAATAACCAGCAAGGATTTTAGTAAGTCTAGTCATCTGTTTTGAAGGGCAACCTGAGGAAGCCAACAGACAAGCATGTCCCATGCCCACTTGGGGAGCGGGGGGGGGGGGGGGGCCGTGAGGTTGAAAAGGTAACAAGGAAGTTGTGAGAGGAAATTACCACCAGCTGTAAGGTCAGAGTGTATTCACCTTAATATGTTCATGGTAGTAACCATACAATTTTCTTCAGGGCTTTTTCTTCCCAACTGAGGCAACAAGAAAAAAGAATCATAATTAGGGTCCAAGGGCAAAGTACAAATTGATTTTTAAAAAATAAGTAATGGAGGAACACCTGAGTGGCTCAGTCGGTAGAGCGGCTGACTCTTGATTTCTGCTCAGGTCACGATCTCAGGGCCACGAGACTGATTGAGCCCTGCGTCGGGCTCTGCACTGGGCGTGGAACCTGCCTGAGATTCTCTCTTTCCCTCTCCCTCTGCCCCTCCCCCTCTAAAAAAATAATAAGTAATAATTGAACCTTAGACTTCAGAGGGTCTGATCACGTGAGAATTTTAGTTAACTACACATTGCTGGGCATGTACTATCATCCATGCCTAGGAGACAGGGAAACTATGAGGGAAGCAGTGGAGTAGCTCAGCCCAAGTCCTCATGGAAGACAGGTGTCCACAGGCAGAAGCTAGGCTCCTTAAAGGCATTAATTTGTGGGGAGAACTTGTCTTAGACATAAAATACAAAACACAGGGCGCCTGGGTGGCTCAGTTGGTTAAGCGACTGCCTTCAGCTCAGGTCATGATCCTGGAGTCCTGGGATCGAGTCCCGCATCGGGCTCCTTGCTCAGCAAGGAGTCTGCTTCTCCCTCTGACCCTCCCCACCTCATGCTTTCTCTCTCTCTCAAATAAATAAATAAAATCTTTAAAAAAAAAAAAATACAAAACACATAGGAACGCATTATTAACTTTATAAGATTTAATATCTAAAAGCAGGAAATGCAGAAGTCAGAGTTCTTATAAGAATGCTAAAACCCGTACATGATATTTAAACACAGAATTTTAGACCTGGAAAGGGACTGATTGCTAGACAATAAACAATATTATAATAATAATTCCAACACACACTTGTGTCCAAGGAGTCAAGCACCTGGCTTTAAGTATTATGTATGTGCAGCATGAGGAAGACCGAAGCTTTAACTTTTGAACTTTAGGATTTGTGCTAATTCGCAACTTTTTATTACACTTACCTTTATTCTAAGGAAGGAAGGAAAACGGAGGGATGGAGGGAAGGAGGAAAAGAGGGAGAGGGAATGAACAAAGGCACCCAAAATGTGTTTTACCTTCTATGATACAAAAAATGCATCCCACTTGGGGTCTCAGTAGCTACCTTCCTTGTGTCTGTTTTCCTTTGTTTTTCCTCGATCTTCTCTAGGGCTGTTTTGGGCCTTTTGCCTGTCTTCCTTCTGTGTCTGCCTGCCGACCTCTTTACCTCCTTCCCTATCCCTGCCCCCAACTTCACATCTCCACACAACACAAAAGTAAATTTCACTCAAAAGCACACAATTGTTATAACTGAAAGTTCCTTACAATGTTACAAATCACCTGATGGGATCCTTCCAGTTTAGGAAACTGAGGCTCTGAGAGATTACATAATTTGCCTGATGTCACAAAACTAATAAACAATAGAACTGAAACTAAAATCCAAGTTGTTCCATTATAATACTAAAAGAAAGCACAAAAAGTTGTTTTGTTTTGTTTTGTTTTTAAGATTTATTTATTTACTTGAGAGAGAGCGCACACACACAGAGGGAGAGGGAGAAGCAGATTCCCAGCTAAGCAGGGAGCCCAATGCCCAGGACCCTGGGATCATGACCTGAGCTGAAGGCAGACACCTAACCAACTGAGCCACCTAGGCCCCCCGAGAAAGTTATTTCTTAATCTCAGAGTGGAGAAGGTCTTTCCCAGAGAAAAAAACAAATAAATAAACAGATCCAAAATTTTGAAAATACCTTATATATTCAACTACATTCCAAGACATATGCAAACACATACACATACTTGGTAAGCTATAAACAGATTCAAAGGACAAGTGACAAAATGAATGGAAAGTTTTGCAACATGAGTGACAAGAGCTAATTTCCTTAATGCATAAAGGTTCTTATCAATTAAAAAAATTCTTTCAAACCTGAGTTCATGACAAAGAAATACAAATGAATTTGAGACATATAAAAAAAGATCCCCTTATATTACAGACATACAAAAAAAAGACATACCATTTTTCACTTAGACTGCTGAAAATCCAAGTATGGAAACAGTTTGCCAAGAGGACTGGAAAAAGTCATTCTGCTTTGCCATTCATAGGAATATACAATTTTGGAGGCTGCTTGGCAATACCTATCAAAACTTTTGATGTACCTGCCCTTAGAAACCAACAATTCCACTTCTCAGAATCTGTCCTCATGTACTTACCTATGTGCACAGAAGAACACATATATAAGCAGCACTGCTTACAGTAGCAAAAGACTGGAAACAACCTACATGTCTAACAACAGGAATGTTTAAACAAATCATGATTTAAAAAAAAAAAAACTTTCTATCGAATACTATGTGGTCATTTCCAAAGAATGAGGTTGATCTGCATAAACTGAAACAAAATGTTCCCTAAAACATTCTGTTTAATGAAAAACAAAGAAGAGCCTTTAAGGTATATAAAGGGGTATGCATCTCTAAGTACATACAGAAACAGAATTCCTCTACAACAGAACAGAAACTACCAAGGCTTCTATCACACCAACACTCCAAAAGGAACTCTAGGACTCTTCCAGTTCTGTAACAAGCTCCTACATCAGTAAGTTCTTCTCAATTGCTAACATGTAATAACCTTCTTCAAAAGACTTGTCCCCTAATACCTCTCCCTGAACTCTTGAACCCTATACAACGAAGCTCTCTGTTCCTTCTCAACCCCTTCTTTGCCTATGTACCAGCTCATCACCCGGGCTCCCTGGTAACAGCTTTGAATTTTCCTTCACTCTCTCAATATTTCTCTATATTAACATCAACTCAATTTCCCCATAAACCTACCCCATAGCCTTCCAAAGCCTAAAGGTCATTACTAGGACTTGACATTCTCTTTGCTCTCCCCACTGCTGCTTTTCTATCAATTCATTTCATTCATTTTTCATCAAACATTTATCGGGTGACAACTGTATACCACATATAATAAGAAGTCAAAAAGAGAAACCTAACACCTGGTCCCTGTCTCAAGAAATATGCAGCCTAGGACAAATATTCCAAAGCAAACCTCTTGCATACCATATAAGAGAAGGAAAGAAAATAGATGCAGGGGAGGCACTCTGATGTTCAGCTACACATCCCAAACTGACAGCTCTGGCTACCTCCATAGAAGGAATTGCAGGTGGTGGTCAAAGTCGCCACCGGCTTTACATGTTTGTTTCTGGTTTTTTATTTGTAAGACTGTATTTGCATATTAGCTTATAATTTAAAATAAACTTTAAAAAGGAGGTGATGTCTAGCTAATCTTTATGTTCCTAATGACTATCTAGCATGCTGCCTGGCAAATAAGCGGAGCTCCATTAACGATCACTAAATAAAAGCACAAACGGATGTGCAGAGTTCTACACAGCACAGTGGAAGGGAGGCGAAACAATCACATTCTGTTGCCTTTACTCAACGAAGTTAATGCAGGGTTTCTCTACCTGGGCACTACTGACATCTCAGACGGGATCACTCTTCATGAGGCAGCTGCCCTTTGTGTTTTAGGGTGGTAAAGCAGCACCCCTGGCCTCTACCCAGCAGACACCAGCAGCACCGCGACATCCACAAAAATCAAAAACGTCTCCAGATGTCACCAAACGTTTTGGTGGACAAAATCTCCCCAAGTTGAGAACAACTAAGTTAATGCTTATACATCATTCTACTTCCTCAACTGCCATGACCTTCTGTCAACCTGCCCAATGATCCCAATGCTTGGTCCTCAATGTCAGTACTCAGGCTGACTACCCCTTCCAAAGCCTCCAAGTTCTTCAACCTATTTATTTCCAGCAGGCTTTCCTCCACCATAATCATCCATCTGATAACTATTCCTTAGGAATCGACACTACCCAAACTCTTCCAACATCAAGATCTCAAATTTGGATCACAAGCTCCTGTCCTTTATCTTCTTCCACCCTCTTAACTGCACCTCAACTTGTTTGTTCCAGCTTCCCTATGCCCAGCCCAGGGTAATGTGAGCTTGACTACTTGTGGGCTTCTCAGTACAGTCTGATAAAGTTAAGAAACCATCAGGACCCCCTCAATCCAAGCTGCCACTTAACTGAGACTTAGTAATCCTTTTATTCCACTTTTTGATGAATTCTTACTACACTGGAACAGCACCTACTTCTTTTTTTTTTGGAAAGAGCCAAGATGTCCATCAACAGATGAATGGGTAAACAGTACTTACTTTTTTTTTTTAAAGATTTTTTATTTATTTGAGAGAGAGAGAATGAGAGACAGAGAGCATGAGAGGGAGGAGGGTCAGAGGGAGAAGCAGACTCCCTGCTGAACAGGGAGCCCGATGCGGGACTCGATCCCGGGACTCCAGGATCATGACCTGAGCCGAAGGCAGTCGCTTAACCAACCGAGCACCCAGGCGCCCCAAACAGTACTTACTTCTAAACTTTCTCTCCTCTCCTCAAAGTGTCAACAACACCCTACCTGCAGGCTACTTTTCTTCCCTAACTGAAGGAAGGAGGTCCTCTGACAGGAGCTTAGTCACCTGCCTTCTTACCTCGTACACAGTTGGTGCTCAAAAAATAGGTTAGGAAGGAAAAACATCATGGCTTTATATTGGCTCTATTTAAAGAGTGATTTTTATAAGGAAAAAAAAAGCTCGAAATCTCATTCTGATTCAACATTTTATTCTGCAACTCTAAGCAACCTCAAGGAAAGTCAACATGCCTCTCCAGTTTCTCAAGCTATCCCCACCGACCGATGGCACATACTGCTGCAGCAAAGCGTTCCTCAGAGTAATCATTAAAGCATAGTGAGGCTTTAGAATGAAAAATAAGGTATAAGCTCCAATGGTACCTGATCATACAATAAATAAAAAGTGCTGCCCATAACTGTGAGTGACTCTCAATTCCGTAACTCCGTGAGATGCAGAGAAGTACCTGAATGGGCTAAGAGAACATCAATGGCAATCCCACATGCTAAAGACCCATCCCGTGGTTCTCTGTGAAGAATGACCAATATTCTCCAAGAGTACAACCACTCTGCAGTAGGACACAAGGCTTTAAGTAATTAATTAGGAGAAACAACTGTACAATATCTTTAGAATTAAATGTCCCGTTTTCACCCACCCTAATGCCTTCCACAGGTACAAGCTTACTGTCAGAAAAAACAGCATATGTGTTCCACTTAAAGAATCTCTAGGTCCCTACAGAATCTAAGGCATAACACTTTCCACCAGCTTTTGTCCCATGAGATAATTATGGAATAAGAAGCTTGGCAAAAGCTTTGGCAAAATAGAGCCAATCATTTTTCAAGACATGTTCTAAACTTTTTTCTTGACCTTCAGCTTATGGTAGCTTAGACAAGTATCTTAAAAGCATTTCTAGTCAGCTGTTTTTGGTAACTTGGGAGCAAAATTATTTTTAGCTAAAAAAGTTTATTTCAATCCCTCTCCCATAACTCAGAAGCATCTAACCAGGTTTGGTTCAAGCTTTCCAGAATAATTTTTCTTTGAGTGAATTCAAAGCATAGGACGTTCCAGCTTCAAAGGAGAAACTTTCTCCTTAAAGAGGCATTGACAACCAAAATGTGCTAATATACAAAATATGTAAAAAACAGAAAACAAAAATCACTTGCCTACCTGCCACCTACCCTGGTATACTGTGAGATTAACACATTAACATTCATAAAATTTTCTGAATGCCTCTGATGGACAAAACATTGTTGTTACAGCATTCCAAGCTATGAAGAGCAAAATGGGTGCCTGTGTGGTAGAAAGTGCGTCACATAAACTTAAATATGATGAAAGGGAACATCAGGTTCAAGTTGTTTCCATGCAGCACTCAAACCATGATTCCAAATAGAGAGAAGGCCTCTTCAAGGATGAAGACAGCTACAGAAAAATAAGGAATTCTGCTAGAAGACAGCTCAACTACATGCATACAACATAACCAAATACAGGTTTTCCTTGTTTTCTCTTGTTTTTCTTCGATGAACAAAGGCTGTCACTACTTCACCTACCATGAGGTTATGTTCCTTGAGTGGTGGGATAATCCAATCACCATCACCATCATGTCAACTTCAAGAACACTGATTGCAGGAGGACAGCAGTCTGTGGGTGAACTAACCACCAAAGACACTGGAAAAACCCATATCCTCATGCCCTCCGTTCCCACCCCACTGACCCACCTGTGGTTCCTCTCGCACCTTGTCCTTGCACGTACTGCCACTTCTGCCTGGAATGGCCTGTCCCTCCCTCTCCTCTCCCTGCCTAACCCCTACTTACTCACTCAATCCTCAGCAACAGCTCCTGCAGAATCTTCTCCTGGGCCCATGCCACCCAGTTGGATAAGAATCCCTTTATTATGCTCCCATAGAAACACTGTACTCATTCCTATCCGGGTACAGAAGCTCCTCTATTACCCTCAGGTTAGGTCTGGAATGAAAGGCTGTTCCTAAGTCCGCTAGTTCATAAAATTCCAATTTGAAAAAAATCCAAGTAACCCATCAGGTGTACATCTAGTGAGGAAACATTTCTTAAGAAAACTGGCTTATGGTAATGGTTCTAACTTGTTTTATTTCTTCTCAACTCACTTTATGATTTGCCCTTGACTCTTTATAATTGTCTCTGTCATTGAATAATTCAACCTGTAGAGGTATTCACCAGCTATCATTTCTCACATGACTTCCATTTGTAATCCTGTCTACATTTATCCACCCCTTCGTATCAGCATTTTTGTTATCATCAGAGGTTTTAGCCTCATGGAATAAGACACAGTTAATAAATATAAGCACCAGCAACACCCTATATACTAATAAACAATGTGACAGACAAAATTAAATGGCCATGTGCCACCAGCAGCACTATTTTTTTCTTTGTGGTAAGCAGAACTGGCACACTTCTGCTCTAACACATGACTTTCTTTTTCTATGAAAATTAGCAAATTCAAGTACTCCAAGTTAAATAGCCCCTATACTTATTCCTGTATCATTTTAATAAATTATTTTATTTTTAAAATAATACAAGCATATGGGCGCCTGGGTGGCTCAGTTGGTTAAGCGACTGCCTTCGGCTCAGGTCATGATCCTGGAGTCCCTGGATGGAGTCCCGCATCAGGCTCCCTGCTCGGCAGGGAGTCTGCTTCTCCCTCTGACCCTCCTCCCTCTCATGCTCTCTGTCTCTCATTCTCTCTCTCACAAAATAAAATAAAATCTTTTTTTTTTTTTTTAAGATTTTATTTTATTTATTTGACAGAGACACAGCGAGAGAGGGAACACAAGCAGGGGGAGTGGGAGAGGGAGAAGCAGGCTCCCCGCAGAGCAGGGAGCCTGATGCGGGACTCGATCCCAGGACCCTGGGATCATGACCTGAGCTGAAGGCAGTCG